TATAATTATAGGCTATTGTATGCTTTTTGGTGTTTTTCATTTGAACAAATAAATAGTTTGTTAAGTAGGTTTTTTTATAATTAATATTTGTAAAATAATATTTTAACAAATTTTAAATTTAAGATCATTGTCTAATAGTTATTGAAATATTGAGCCCAAACTAATACGAAGATTGGTGAATGACTATCAAATTATTAATCTAATTATATCTTATTATAATAATATAAGACTCTAAATCTTAAATAATCAATCAAATATTAGATCAATATCAGAATTGAATCAATTTTCAACAGATGAACTATGCTGATTCTTAAATAACATATAATATTCAAGAGATAGTTATTAATAGATTCAAACAATTTTCTAACAAACTATTGTATCCTGAAAAATTAAATTTAATTGTATCTTCCGAAATCTTAAATTTATTGATCAAATATTATGAAGCTTTTTATAAAACTATGAACTTTCGAAGACCATTCATTGAATATATTAATAATAATTCAATAATTCTTCAAAATAGAGTTGATTAATATGGAAGATGCCAAATTGGAAGCAAAATTTTTAATTCAATTATGTTACCACAAAATATAAAAGGTTTATTTGTTTTAGCCTAATTTGTGAATCATGATGGAAGTGTTGATTTATATCTGAAACAGATTCAATTTTTCTTCACTCATTCAGTCAACTTATTGAATAATATGACAAAGTACAATTTGGTTTTTATTCGATGGTTTAAACCTATTAATTTGGCAAATATCAGATTCTATTTTGGATCTAAAAATAATATAAATGTTGAATTATGGAGTATCAAATTTTATCTATTTAAATATTAATATATAGAGGGTACTCAAAAGTCATTGAACAAACTTTAAAAATTTATATCTAGCTATATATACCGAATTAAAAAAATTTTTTTTATTTTATTTTTTTTTAATGTTAAATGTTTTATTAAAAAATATATATATATATTTTTATGCAGTAGTTATTTAAATATTAAAGTTTTTAAAAAAATTGAATATTTTTGCCAAATCAAAAATTATTTTGATTTTTTTTTTTTAAAAAATTAATTTATTTATTTATATTAACTTATTTGTCATGTAAATAATATATTATTTTATTAAAATAACTTTATTATATAAATAATAAACTCATAAAACAAGAATTATCTTTTTAAAGATGATAGACAAAAAAATTCAATTAATGTTAGTACAAAGGAATATGATTATTTGCCATTATAAAAAAAAATGCTATATTGTGATATTGCAAAACAAGTCAGCTGTTCGAAATCAGCTGTTGGTATTATATTAAAAGATTCTTAAAAACCGACTCTGCTGAATCACAAGATATAAGAACCAGCAATCCACTACTTATTAATTTTTTTTCCCAAGTCATTCTAAAAAAAATTACTAAAAAAATTATCATTTATATGTTTTTTAACTTACTAATGTTTTCATAAATTGAATAAAGATTAACATTTCTATAAATACAGTTCATTGTGCTCTCTATAAATTGAATTTGAGATGTCATGTCGCTCACCTGAAGCCATTTATTTCTAAAGTCAATTCAGAAAATTGATTCAATTGGTATCTGGTATATGAAAACTTGATTACTTGGCATTTTCAATATATACTCTGATCTGATGAGTCCACGGTATCTTTTTTTTAGCAATGATTCTACTATTGGATATGGCATGAGCTACAAAAAGAATGAAAAATTAAATGTTTAACCAGCATCATTAAGTATAGTTCAAGTCAAATGTATTGGGGTTGTTTTTCTTGATATGGTGTTGATCTCCTTATCTTCCTTGACAGCTCTATAAAAATGTCTTTGTATATTAATACACTTCAAGAATACCTTATTTTAATTTTTAATTGTTTTTTTTTTATTAGTAATTGTGATCATCTGTATTTCATACAAGATAATGCAAGACCATATATGACAAAGATTACTAATAATTTTTTGTTAACTATGGAATTCAAATTTTGAACTGGCCCACATAAAGTTTTGATTTGAACCCAATAGAGAACTTGTAACATAAGATAAAAAACTCAGTATGGCAATGTGAAATAAAATCAAGCAATCTTGTAAAACTTAATTGTCTTGTTCTGCAAGCCTGAAAAAATATATTATGTCAACTTTGTCAATAGATAATAGACAGCATGCTATGATGTGTAAAAGCATATATCATGACTAAAGGAGTCCTACTAAATACTGAATTATATTAAAAAAAAAAATTAAATAAGTCATTTTAATTTGATTTCTCAAGTAATCTTCATTTTCAGTTTAAGTAATTTTTTAAACTTTTTTAAAATTTTTTAAATTTTAGTAATTATTGCATAAAAAATTTTTTTTAATTATATATATACAGTTAAATATAAATTTTTAAAGTTTGTCCAATGACTTTTAAGTACCTTTTGTATAATTCCTATTTATAATATTTTTAGCCAATTTATTCCATTTAAATATAAGATTTTAAATCAATAAGATTCTTGTGAATATTTAATTATTATTCTTTTAAATTACAAATACAATATATAAAATTTCATTAAAACATATATAATTTGGCAATATAATATAATTTAATAAAAATATATATATGGCAAAGTAATATAATTTGGCAAAGTAATATAATTTAACAATATATATTTGGCAAGATAATATAATTTGTTAAAGTAATATAATTTAGCAAAGTTAAAATATATATATATATTTGATACAAAAAATAAATTATTTATTTTATTATTGAAATATTAAATAAGATTTAAAAAAAAATGTATTATTTATATGCCACTTTATAGCTGAAGATAAAGGTTATATGAATTTGATTGATTAGCTGAATTATATACTTTTTAATGAATAATTAATGAAAAGTATTATGCTAAATAAATCAATTTCAACTAGTATTTATTAAATACAAAAAACTTATTATTATTATTATCAATAATAAAATTAAAATTTACAAGTAAAAATATTATTATTAAAGAAAAAAAAACAATTAAAATCTAATTAATATAAATAAAAATAAAATATTAAAGAATTATATCTTATAATTTAATAATTAAAGCTAATATTTATTTGTTGTTACTAAAATTATATTCGATTAAAAAAATTTTTTTAATAATTTTTAATTTGTAAATTTTTGAATTTTTTTATTTTAAAGCTTTTTTTTTATATAATATTAAAAATAAAAAATAAAATTCTATAAATTTATAAATTTAAATAAAACAAACTTAAAAATTAATTAATAATAAATATATGATTATATCTTTTCAATAAAAAAATTCTTAAAAGTTATGTTATACACTGTATGTTTCAAAAAAATTGATATTAATATTGGTAAACTTATTATATTTTCAGACTATATAAATATTTTGCTTTAATATTTTTCAATATATAGTTTTTGAGAAAATTAATGATAATAATAAGATGCTTGAGCAGTATATAAATAAAATAATATTGAGGTTTTCAAATTTAAAAACAATATTAATTAGTATTAACAAAATCATATGTTATATATTTATTATATCAATATTAAATATGTCATTTACCATTATTTAAAAACTTATTAATAAAGAAAATCATATATATTATATTAAAAAAAATATTTCAAAATAAGAACATATTGACTATGTTATTAAAAGAAAAAAGGATTTTATATATATAATCAAGGGTAAGATTTGTAATATTGAAATTAAATATCTTTAAAATATTGTACAACTAGAAAATACATATTAATTATATAAATAAAAAATACAGTATATAGCAAAGCAAATATTTTAAAAACATGATTATAACTATTTTTACAAAATAGTTTTTACAGATATAATATGTTTACAAATATTTTAGAATTTCTTATTTTGCTGGGTTCACTAATAAAAAAATATTCTTTATATCTTAATTATAGAATAGTACTTTAATATATTCATTATCAATAGTTTTTATTGTACAGTAAAAGTGAATATCCAATTAATTTCTCAAAAACAGCTTTTAAAGAAGATCTCAAATTGATTTGAAAGAAGTAAAATAAGTGTTAGGTGTTATTATTAGGTTATTAAATAAATAATTGATAATTGATAATATTTTTGCCAATAAGAAGGTCAGAATTAAAAAAATTATCAAAAAATAGTGGATAAATAATTTTTCATTTCATATGTATTTTATATTATATTAATAAAGTAACATAAATTTACTTTTGAATATATCTGTATTTTATTTAAAAAATAGCAAATACACAATCCAAAACTGACTTACTTGAAAAACAAATTTCAAGCTTATAAAGTAGATAAAAAAAATACACTTAAATATGAAAATATTGAGATCAAGTTTGAAAACATCGAACTTAAAGCTAAGAACATAAAATTAAAACAAACTTTAAAAGAACATGAATTCAAATTTATAAAATTAGAACAAAGTGGTAAAATATTGCTATTGAAAATGTCAAGCTTAAAGCTAGAATTACAAAATACAAAATTGAAACAAAAGCAATTGAAAATAATGTGAGCACCAAGGTAATAATATTATAGATAGTAATGATTCTTTTGATATATCTGATCAAGATGATATCAGAGAAATCAATCGATTATTGGTTAATATTATTTCTAGTGAAACAAATTCTGATAATCATCTTGAACGGACAGAAAATAGTTCCAATCACATTTCTGATGATCTTGAAACAAATTTTAATGATTCTTCTGAACAAATAAACTCATGATATGATGGGTTAAAAACATGTATCAAAAATGTTAACATTTCAGCATCTGATATATTTAATATTACTTCAAATTCTAATAAACATTAGAAAAAGACAAAGTTGAGAGTCACTAATTCATTTCCAACTACAATTATATACATAAAACTTAAATTGTTAAAAGAAAAAGAAGTAGACAATTCTTTGATTTACTAGAAAAAGAAAGAATTAGTAATATGATGAGTGAGAGAAGAAGTTTTAATGTGAATCACCTAGCTAGGAGGCATATTCAGTTTCTCAGAATACTGCATCTATGCCCCATGGGCAGAAAAATGAACAGGGCCTGATTCGAGAAATGATTTTATTCAAGGAAGAAAAGCACATGACTGAAATTTCAGAGAACTTGATTCACTCAAATAAGGAGACTTCGATAATTCCGTCTATTATAGCCATGTCCCAGTTGTTACCAGATAATAGAGATATTATTAGTCTATATAAAAATGTATGTGATGCGAAAGTAGATGCTATTAAAGCTAATCAAGAAGAAACATTATGTTGGTGTTTCTAAAAAGCATGTATAAAGATTTTATGGTTAACAATAAAGTCGGAAAAAAAAGGCAAAAGGTCAGATGTATGGCTTTATTTTCAAACAGCTACCAGACATCAAACGCAAAATTTTATGTAAGCAGACACAGAAAGCTTTAAAGGATTGACAATTTATTCAAAAGAATAGAAATGGTCAAAATTCAATACATCAAAACATATAATACGGATACAATTTCTAAATTTACTAATACTCAAATCAAACAATTATAGATCACTTTGCCAAGAAGCCTGATATAGAATTCACCGATGATTCTTCTGATGTTGATGAAACGAGTGAAAGCTCTATATAACAAAAATTCTATTATATCTAAATCTTTATCAGAGGTTGAGATATGTAAGAAGATACTCGAAAAGTACCCTATAGGACCTGAAAAATCTTTATTGGATGTAAGTAATGATCAAGATCCCGGCTATGAATGCCATTTTGAAGATACCTACAATAACAATGAAAATGATTCACAGAGTAAGAATGCTAATGTGTCTAAAGATGATAATGGGTTCTGTGGATTTTTTGATGATGTTGGTGAAGGTTAGGTTATTATTATTATTTAAATACTGGTGAAACTTATACAAAATTGGAGAGTCGAAGATTTGAGCCTTTGGATTGTCATTCAATCTGTGCATATAAAGTCACTAGTTCTGTTATATTAAATAAAGAAAAGGTGATTAACCTCCACATGTTTTTCGTACAATTTGATCAATTACGCTTATTAATCGATGAGAAAAAAAAACAAAAATATTGAGTATCATAATATTCATGAATGGAATAGGATATATTTTTGGTAAATATAATTAACGAACGATTTGTAATCACCTATACAGGATATCAATGTAAGAATATATTTCAAATCTTGTAAGGAATCATACTATAGGTATTTTTATTTTTTGAATAGATTTTTACGTGTGTTAAAGATACTGAACTTCACTCATTATAAAAACTTCAGAAATTTGCTATTATTGCAGAAAAAAAACAAAACTCTATTATTTAATGTTTGTATAGATAAGTCACTGTCTCATTCGATTAGACAAAATCATCAGTGATGGTATAAATCATCAATTATTCATGTTGTACATATTGTTAGATTTTAACTATAAATATAAACTCTAAAAAAAATGGAATCAGAATTACAAAAAGAAATAGATAGAAAGGAATCAGTAATCAGAAAATTAAATTAATGAGAACGGCGGAAGAAATGGAAGATAAAATGAGAAACGTTGATGAAGAATTGGATGAATAGCAGAAAGAATTGGAGAAATATCAGAGAGAATTGGAGAAATATCATAAAGAATTGGAGGAATACAAGAAAGAAGTTGCGAAATTAAAAATAACAATAGCATCCTATTAAAGAAAGAAAAGAGAAAGCATATACTGTAATTCTTCTGAAGACATATGGGCATCCTATCAATTTTAATGAAAATTTATTAACGCAAGTTCTATATTGGCTTGGTTACAATAGGATAAGTAATTGTTAATTTACACCAAATCCTTTATCATACATTTTATTATATGCCATCTTTAAGATAATTTTATTTTTCTATCGTATATATTTAATGTATTAGGCAGACATATCGATATAATTAAATTATGCATATTAATAGGTTTATCGAGTATCTATGTTATTCAAGAAATTTTCCAGAATTATATTTCGCATAATAAATAACGTAGCAGTAAAAAATAAACTATTGTTGTGGGAACAATAGGGATGGTAACGCGATATTGTGGCGCGTCGCGTAATAATAGTAACATGGATGGTAGAATGATGTAATAATTGGTAATAGCATGTAATGAGATGGACGCGTCCACAAGGCATATAAATAGAATAGTCTTAGGTAGTTTGAAAAGAAACAGTCAGAGTTCAAATTAGAGTTTAGCTTGGAGCTTTGAGTGGAGAGTTTTAGAACGCTCTTTATGTTCTCTCGCTTTATTCAATAAATGCCACAACTTTGCACAATCTTATTATACATTCCTTGAAGTATAAACTAAGTCTACGCCACTACAGTAAAGTAACCTTTAAGAAAGAGAGACGCGGCGTTACCGTTGTGCACCGTAAGAGAGCGACACTTGTAATCTTGAGACGCGCCTAGGGAAAGACGGTCAAGAAGGGAT